CGGGCACTCACAAGGAGTCGCGAGAACTATGCTGCCTATCGTGCAGAATGTTCACGCGCGTACTCATCAGGGGCTACATGTATTCCCGTCATTGGTGAGCTAGCTTGGTCAATCAATGAAGAACAAACTGGTTAAATGAAAGCATTTGTTGACTGAAAACAGGCATCTACCTTCCGCAACTGCGCTCAATTGTCGCCTCACAAGATGATTTCATTACAATCTCTTCTCCCCATACAAATACCACTTCGCTCATCAACTTTGCCAAGTGCCATGCAATGTCAGATATCTGCCGTGCTGCATTGCAGTTCCAGGCGCGCATGCCCAATAAGGAGGACGTCATGGAAAATTTGGACATCCAAGCGTGGATCCTCGAGCAGCTTGAGGTCGGGAACAGCAAACCCGATTCTTGGTACAACGATTATTCAAAGGAAATACAGATGCAAGAAGCGGAACACGGTGGCATCCGGTCAGTCTTGATATCTGTCTGTCCATCTGGCTGCTGACGCTTGCTCTTGCAGCCGAGGGCTTGAGGCTGCCGGTTATGAAGGTTTTGTTGTTCGCCCTTCAACCAATAAATTTTGATTTTTGTCCCATTGTCTGGGATTTGCCAAAGTCATATATACTTCCACCACTTTTTTTCATCTCCGTTTTTAGTTTCTGGAGAGCAGATGAATTACTCTTTGAAAGGCGAACAAATTCCCTGAACCACACGCTATGATGTTCCATCACTGACACTAACTATGCTGGTGCCTACCAGTCGTAAGGGGAACGGTAGACACTCTCCAGACGTATTATCTACAATGTAATAATTATCACTTGTCCCCTAGGCCATGATTGCCCTTTGAAACCTCGGCGAACTTTGAATATGCATCAGTTGCCGCGGGATGCGCAGGGACAGAGGTGTGGAATGTCGATTCATGGTACGCTAGTTTCAGGAGTTGCTAAGTGACTCGATACGTGTAAATACATGCAGGGTATACAGGAATATGAGATGCTGGTGTTGGCCAAGAAAATGTAGATGTAACGGTAGCTACAATGCAGAATAAGAGACGAGCAAGATAGCAAAAGAGGTTAAGGAGACCCATAGACAACTGAAGATCAAAAAAGGAATAAACGTTATTATGCGGTTCATACGAGCAAGCGAATGGACGAGAGGTCTGTATCAAGGTTACTCATTCCAACCAGGTGCGGGGACAGCATTACCCCTGTCCTCAGGGTTGGACCAAGTTTTCAAAAAGTTGTCCAGGGACATGATTTGGATCTACGCATTGAGTCCATATAAGTTTTAGTGAATTTCACAAGAACTGAGGTCCGTACCTGGCACTTCTCCAAATTTTTAGGTTCATCGTAGCCTCTCCCACCATGAACAAGGATAAAACGACGATACGAGGTGTACATAGTGGGGAAGCGCTGCATGCGCATAAGCTCATCCGTAAGAGTGCTCGCTATTGAGCGCTCCATTTCGGCTAAAGGCATGGGCATGAGAGTTGTGCCGGAACCCGACGTGTTAGGGTATGCTTCTGTCAATGATGAGGCAAACTCTTCCACCAGCTTGTCTGGCGTTGTGATTGACTTCAACGACCAATCCAATTGACTGCGCCAGTATTGGACACGAGCTTCGATGACTTCAGGATGCTCAGCAAGTACATCGGACGAGCCGGTTCGACTACTGGTCATCAAGGAGACTCGAGGAGGACAAGTCGTAATTGTGAGATCTGAATATGCAGAACCACGGCGAAGAATTGATTGTATGTGAAAGGATGCCAAAGAAGCTGCACTGAGATTGCACAGACATCAAAGACGTCAGTCTCTGAGTTTTCGTGACTAGTAGGTGGGAAATACTCACGGGCGTTTGTGGGGATCTTCATGGACAAGCTTCTCAAGCAAGCCAAGCATATGAGGGTGGAGAAGGATAGTGAACGAGTGTGCTCCAGCATTGTATATGATTCGCGACACGGCAGCCATGTCCTTAATAATGGCATCGGCAGTGAAAGCCAGCACAGTTCCTTTAAACGAGAGCAAAGGTTAGCAAAGAGGGCGAAGCTTATGGAGATAAAACACTTACCGTAGGGGAATACCTCAATCAAACCACACTTGTCATCGTCCTTCAGCCCACTGGGGATGGTTGGCCGCCCATAGCGAAAGAACCTCATATTCGTCTCAGAACCCTTGGTGTCCTTTAACTTGGCCCATCCAGGCTTCTCTCCGTCATCTTGCAACCATTCATCGGCATGAATGAACATGTGGAAGGCGGTGGGATGTTGCGCCTGATTGCGCCAGTCGATCCTGCTTGCGACTGCTTTGGGCGATCCCCACTGATCAGGACCAGCTTTCTCACGTGCCCATCTGCGTGTCAGAAGCGCAACCAGCGCCCGGGTCTCGATATCTTCATCTGGGGAAACTTGCGCATCGAACCCTGGCCAGCCATCGTCCAAGTTTGTGGGTGGTACAAAGACATTACGAGCTGAATAGGAGTTGTACACGGAGAATGGGCAAACTTG